CAGCTTAGAGGGAAGATTGAAAGCGACCTGATGAAGCATTGAGGGAAACAGATCGTTTACCCGGGAAATCTGTAGTCACATGACACTTGTTTGGAAGCAGCCGCACTGCATGACGTGGGATAAAGGAACAACAACAAAAGAAGAAGAAACAGCAAACTTGTGGACTGTAATTGGACTGGAATAATTTTTCCACAGTGAACATTGATAGGGTGCAACCTCCTGGTGGTGGCTGAAGACCTCCCAGAATAACAACTGATCAGCTTGCTACTAGGGCTGCCAAGCCGCGGCTGGGGATCTGCACGTCTTCACAGGATCCCTGCCGCGGGGGACAGCGATACGCGTTGCACCGCCGTCGCCAGGATGTGACACTATGCGTCGCTCTGGCAACGGGGCTGTTTGGAGTCCCGTTGCCAGAGCGACGCATAGCGTCACATCCTGGCAACGGCGGTGCAACGCGTATCGCTGTCCCCCACGGCAGGGATCCTGTGAAGACATGCGGATCCCCCGCCGCAGCTTGGCAGCCCTACTTGCTACAGAGCTCTGTTCCCCTGGAGAAAATGGCTGCTTTGGAAGGTGGACCCTCTGGCATTATGCCCCACTGAGGTCCTCCCCAGGCTCCACCCACAACATTTCCAGGAACCTCCCAACCCAGATGTGGCAGCCCCAGGACCACATGCATTTAGGAAGAACTGTAAGCCATTAATTATAATATTATTTATCATTCACTTAATTTATAGCCCACCTTTCTCCGCAATGGGGACCCAAAGTGGCTTACATCATTCCCCTCTTCTCCATTTTTTCTGCACAACAACCCTCTGAAGCAGGTGAGGCGGAGAGTGCGTGACTGGCTCAAGGACACCCAGCAAGCTTCCGTGGCAGAGTGGGAATTCAAACCCAGGTCTCCCAGATCCTGGTCTGACACCCTAACCACTACGCCACAAAACTGCACCCGGGCTATTGTCACCTCTTCAAACTGCTGCAGTTGCTAAGGGTTGCCAACCACCAGGTGGGGGCTTGAGATGTCCTAGAATTACAGCTCATCTCCAGACTACAGAGGCCAGTTCCCCTGGAGGAAATGGCTGCTTTGGAGGGTGGACTCAATGGCATTATAACCTCCTGAGGGTCTGGCACAACCCCCGGGGGTGTGCCCCCCCAAAGGTTCAGGTTAGCTTGGTGATGAGAAAAGCTTAGGTAATATTTCAAAAACCCAATCTCCTTTGGTAGTGTGATTTTATGCACTGGGCCAGTAGCTCATTCCAGGCACCTTAAAACAGAATCAAAAATGTACAAAAGTATAATAAAAACAAACAAATAAGGGAAAGGGTATACACCAGGGGTGTCAAACTCATTCGTGATGAGGGCCAGATCTGACATAAACGAGACCTTGCTGGGCCGGGTCACGTGTGTCACAAGATGTAATGCCAGGTAGCGGAGATATAAACTCAACACAAACACAAAGGGTTTTTTTAAACTTAACATAAAAACCATGCTTAAAACATTAGCACTCTTGCAATATTTTGTTTATTTAACAGTATCTGATAACTGAGACCTCTTGCTCTGAATTATTTGCATCAAAACATCTGTGCAGTTGCACGCTTGAGTATGCTGTTCAGGTGTGTATCTGTAAGCTGCAAACCTACTTTTGATTGATTGGCATTCACCACAGAAATCTCATGCTCAGAGTTCTGAGTCTAGGACCCAGGTTAAAACTTGAAATGGCAGAGTGATTAAGAGAGTCTGGCAAAGCAAGCTATGATGCAGCAGCAGCAAAACTGGAAGGAGGAGACGGGCAGTTACACTGCGGGCCTGATGGAAGCCCTCCGGGGGCCTGATCCAGCCCCCGGGCTGCATGTTTGACACCCCTGGTATATACATTGAAACAAAGACAAACATAACAAACATAACAAATCTAACTCTCTAACCACTAACGCTGACCCTGTGCAGCTGTCTTCCCAACAGCACTGAAGCAGAAATTACTGGAGTGAGTGACAGCCTCTTCCTCCAGGCCCACAAGTCCTTTGGGCAGACGGTTCTTCCACATCATTTCTGACACCCTCTGTGCCTTTTCCTTACCCACCCTTCTGGTCTTCCCTCTGTGGTTTCTGACTCCTGATTTTATCCTCGCTCAGCTGTCACGTTTGTGATTGACTGACCAATCACAGGCCTCAGTCAATTGACCTAGATCTTGAACTGTCAAGATGGTAAGATGTCAGGTAGTTGTTTTGACAGCTCACAGCTGGCCACTGTTAAGCTAACTGCTAACTAACTGCAGGTGCTCCTTATTATGGCACCTTGTAGCTTGGAAGCTATCCAGATAGAACTTAGGGCTTAACAGTCCCACAGGAAAATGCAAAGACTTCTGTCCTGAGGAGCCACTTTTGTGACAGGGTCCCTCCCCGAACCCCACCCTCCCCAAGGCTCCATCCCCAAATCTCCAGGAATTTCCCAGCCAAAAGTTGGCAACCCTATACCATTCTCAGCTCCATGCCTCAATGCTTAAAATGTCCCCCGTTTTGCACCAGGGTGAAGCGCTCTTCCTTGCCATCAATTCTGGATGAAATAGGCTCTTCCCACCCCCGCCCCAGCTGTCTTGAAGTGCTTTTATCTATGCTTCTTTCAGTGTTAGAGTTTATGGCTGGTTTCTAAGCAGAGCGCAACTGCTTTTTATGAATTTGATACTTTTGTCCACGGTTGCCTGCTTTAGTTCGTTTTGCTGCTGCTGCTACAACCTATTTTGGGAACATAAGAAGAGCCCTGCTGGATCGGACCAGTGAGGGTCCATCTAGTCCAGCATCCTGTCTTACACAGTGGCCATATACCAACAAAGGGAGCAGCAATGAAATGACACCTGAACACAATGGATTGCTGCAAAGTGCATACAATTAAGAATAATAGACAATGAGCTTCATGATGTTTTAATCTTTGTTTTTCAACAATAGGGCGCCACCAAACAGAAGATGATGACGTCAAGATGAACGGACGAACCTCCCGAGTTACCGTTCGTTTCCAAGTTTCTTTATTAAACAGGTCTCAGTTCAGCGTTCTTGTGCAATAAAGTCAACCACAAGGGTGTTCTTAAATTCAGATAACTTCTTCCACAGCTCTTTGCTAACAGTTACACCTTTCAATCGGACAACAAGATTGAAAGGTGTAACTGTTAGCAAAGAGCTGTCGTCATCATCTTCTGTTTGGTGGCGCCCTATTGTTGAAAAACAAAGATTAAAACATCATGAAGCTCATCAGTACTATTGTTTAATTATTGTCTATTATTCTTAATTGTATGCACTTTGCAGCAATCCATTGTGTTCAGGTCACACAGTGGCCAGCCAGTTCCTCTGGACAGCCAACAACAGGGGAGAGAGGCCGAGGCCTTCCCCGCATATTGCCTCCTGGCTCTGGGATTCAGAGGATTGGTGCCTCTGAACGTGGAGGTCCCCCTCAGTCACCATGGCTAGTAGCCACTGATAGACTTATCCTCCATGAATCTATCAAATCCCCTCCTGAAGCTGTGTCTTCCTGTGGCCATCACTACATCCTCTGGCATCGAATGCCACATTTTAATCACTCTCTGTGTAAAGTGGTATTTCCTTCTGTCTGTCCTGAACCTACTGCCCATCGGCTTCATTGGATGCCCTCGTGTTCTAGTACTTTGGGAAAGGGAGAACAATTACCGGTTTGGTCTTTGCTTTTATGCTTTTGATTGCCTGCTTGGGCATGTGCTATTGAAAAAAAAGCAGAGGCTGGATTTTTAAATAAAATTAAATAAATTGTTTTTGACTTGTTTTCGAACATCAGCTGTCCAAGACATTTTCAACTTGTTTATTTAGTGCTTGACAGAGCAACACGCCATGGTAATGCATACATGGGCTTTATGGAGTACCCCAAGCTCTGTCTTCTTGGTGCTTGGGGGGGGGGTCAACAGTGGGAGGGCTTCTAATGTCCTGGCCCCACTGCTGGACCTCCTGATGGCACTGGTATTTCTGGCCACTGTGTGACACAGAGTGTTGGACTGGATGGGCCTTTGGCCTGATCCAACATTGGCGTCTCTTATGTTCTTATGTTCTCTTAAGACTGGTCTCTGCCCCATGAAGCTTATGTTCTATGCAGAGGTCATTTTGGGGGGGATCGCGGGGGAACACAGTTCCCCCGGGTGAGGTAGGGGGGCGGGGCACATGATGAAGCCCCGCCCCCTGCTTCCGGCCGCCCCGCTTCCGGCCCTCATTCAGCCAGGAGGAGGCAGGAGAAGAGGGAGGGTAAGTTGCTTCCTCCCTGCCTCTCCCCACCCCTGCCTGCCTGGGGCCAGGGAGGGCCTTCGCAGGGCTTCCTAGGTGTGGCATATGCTAATGAGTTATGCTAATGAGTTCCCCTAGCTCTTTTTCTACGGAATGACCCCTGGTTCTATGACTGAGACGGGAAAACAACAGGGAAGAGGAAAAGAGAGAGAAGGATGGGAGGGAATGAATAGGTGCAAAATGCCTTATACTGCAATCCTGTTCCTTTTTAAAAAAAAACATTTTATTAGGATATAATAAACAAAGGCAAACATAAGTCACAAACTTTTATACTTATACATCCTACCCTCTTCCCTCCCCCCCCCCCTGCGCAGCTTCCCACAGTGCTCCAACCTCCTGCTCACTTCTTAGATCTTCTTCATCTCACCCTTTCTTTTCCCCCCCCTTTACACATATCTATAGGTAACTTCTCCCTCCATTTTTTGTTTTTGTATCTTAATCTGTTTTTTATGTCTGTTAACTTTCAATAATTGTCAAAGCCAATCCTGTTCCTTCTTAATTTTGAGTACACGTTTTTTAAGATTGGGTTGTTCATTCCTATAGGAGGTGCAGAGTTTGGTATCATAGACTTCACAAGAGAGGTGGAGTTTCATACAACTCTAAAAACAGGTATCCATCATACGGTCTGCACAAGTGTAGAAACATACCTTGCCCACAGTGAAACAGATTTTTGTTTTATGTATATCCTCTTTTTCTTTTTAATTAAAGGAGAACCACTGCAGAAGGATAAAAATCCTAGGTGACTGTTACTACTGTGTATCAGGACTGACGCAGCCCAAAACGGATCATGCCCACTGTTGTGTCGAAATGGGATTGGATATGATTGACACCATCACGTAAGTCCTACAGTCACTCTCATGCTTCGCGGGAAACAGCCGCGGTGCCTCTGTCACTTCCTCTTGTATCCGCTTATTCTCATTTCAATCCGCATGTTGCCAGTCTTACCATGTTTGGGAGCATCCCCCATTCCTTCCAACTGAACCGATTCCTGTTTGGACTGGATCTCTGTTTTGAACCAACGTCTCTTGGTATCGTTTTCCCCCTTCCCAGACACACGTACACACACCTTTCTGTTGTGTATATCCAGGGCTATTTTTGGGCAGGAACACACAGGAACGGAATTCCGGCTGGCTCCCAAGTTGGCCACGCCCAGCAGGAACTCATTTGCATAATAGGCCCCACCCAACAGCAGGAACTCATTAGGATTGGCCACATTAGGGGTGTGTGGCCTAACATGCGAAGGAGTTCCTGCTACAAAAAAAGCCCTGGGTTTTGACAACAAACAAGGTAAACAGAATAAGAAGCAAAAGGTGGGTGTGGCTGGATGAGCACACTTCTGGTAACATGGGGGTGCGGCCTAATGTGCTAATGAGCTGTGCTGGCAGGGGTGTGGCCCAATAGGCTAATGAGCTCCTGCTGTTGGGTGTGGCCTATTATGCTAATGAGTTCCTGCTGGGCTTTTTCTACAAAAAGAGCCCTGTGTATATCAGTCGACTTGGTGCGTTTATACTTCAGGAAAGAATACGCTAGAATAAATGTAGGGCCGTGGCTCAGTGGTAGAGCATCTGTTTGGCACGCAGAAGGTCCCAGGTTCAATCCTCAGCATCTCTAGCTAAACGGATCAGGTAGGAGATAATGTGCCTGTGCCTGAGACCCCCTGAGAGCCACAGCCAGTCAGAGCAGACAATACTGACCTCGGTGGACCAATGGTCTAAGTATAGAAGAACAAATGGAAAGAAAGCAGTCATGAGAGTCTGACCCACAAATCAGGCAGTCAACAAGACTTGCAAACAAGATGATGAAGAAGAAGAGATTGGATTTATACACTGCCCTTCACTACCTAAAGGTGTCTCAGAGCGGCTTACAAACTCCTTTCCCTCCCCCTCCCCACAACAGACACCCTGTGAGGTAGGTGGGGCTGAGAGAGCTCTTGACAGAAACGGCTCTTTTTCAAGGACAGCTCTTATCAGAACTACAGTTTGCCCAAGGTCATCCAGCCAGGTGCAAGTGGAGGAGTGGGGAATCAAACCCGGTTCTCCCAGTTTAGAGTCCACGCACTTAACCACGATGCCAAATTGGCTCTGTTTTCTGTATGTTATTGTCAACAAGCACTACAACACAATGAACAAATTCCTTCAAATCATAAGAAAATCCTTGTGGGTGAGACGCCTGGGACGCCTCAGAAGCCTAGCAGCATATTTGAGCCTGAATACTTATTGAGATCAGCGTCCTATCTGAATGTATTATCTTTCCTCTTTTGTTTTTTTTTTGTAAAGCACTTTATGAGCATGAGAGCTTTTGTACTATTTCCTGAGGAAGATCCAATTTTGAAACGTCGTTATATAATCCGGAGACGACGTTGATGTATTTTTACACAAGGATGTTCTTATGATTTGAAGGGGTTTGTTCATTGTGTTGTAGGGCTTGTTGACAATAATATACAGAAAGCATTTCCTTTGCAAGTCTTGTTGACTGCCTGATTTGTGGGTCAGACTCTCACGACTGTTTTCTTTACATTTGTTCTTTGATCAGGTCATAACTGTCCCAATTAAGTATAAGACAGCTTCATGTTTTCAAGTTGCTGGTCATTGAAGTTCCACTGGACTCCAGTTTCATTCCGCATCACCCTTTGTTTTGGAGTGGTTGTGTTCAGCGTTCCTTCTAAGCTGAGTTAGTGTGAGCTAGCTCACAATTTTTTAGCCTCCGGCTCACACATTTTTCTCTTCGCTCAGGAAGGACGGCTCCAGAGCAAACTGATTTATGCAGGAGCCAAATCGCTCGCTCACAACGTTAAATGCCAGTAGCTCACAAAGTTGAATTTTTGCTCACAAGACTCCACAGCTTAGAGGGAACATTGGTTGTGTTCTCCAGTCTCTGTGGCACTGTGCTCTTTTGAATTTTTTTCTCTTATGTTGGGGTGGCGGTCATTTCCCCCCCCCCCCTCCTCACAGTGGATTTTGGGCAGAGCTTTTCCATTCCATTCCATTCTGTTCCGCTCTGTGCTCTTTCTTTGACAAGGCAGTGAATCAAGGCAAGCAGAGGAGAACTTTTTGGGCTCCCTCCATATCCGCCAGTCAGCCCATTTCGTGACTTGCCAAGCAAAACACAGCTCAGGCGCCATGAACAGTTGCCCACAACGATCTCAGTAAAACCTCCCGGTTTTGCTGCCTGCCTCAGACCCCAGCTTTAGGCCGGGAAATAACTCCTGGCAACGCACAAGGCTTGGTCAGTGGCCTGAATCTGGCTTGGAAGAGTCCTTACGGTTGTGCAGACTGGCATTATTATTTGCCACAGCCATGAACATGGAGTGAGGGAAAAGAGAGTGCTTCGTTCTGTTTGTTAAAAGGCTGTCAGGTCACCACCCATGTGAACCACGGAGAATAACGCTGTTGGCACTCTAGGAGCCAGCGTGCAGTTTGGCGATAGGTTCAGAGGGTAGCCATATTGGTCTGCAGTAGAACTGCGTAGATTCAACAGAAAAGAGCAAGGGTCCAGTAGCACCTTCGGTAAAGGTAAAAGTCTCCCTTGCTCAAAAGCCAGTCAAGTCCGACTCTAGGGTTGCGGTGCTCGTCTCCGTTTCAAAGCCGAAGAGCCAGCGCTGTCCGAAGACATTTCCGTAGTCGTGTGGCCGGCATGACTAAACACCAAGGCGCACGGAACGCTGTTATCATCCCACCGAAGTGGTCCCTATTTATCTACTTGCAATTTCTTGCTTTCGAACTGCTAGGTTGGCAGGAGCTGGAACGAGAGACGGGAGCTCACTCCGTCATGCGGCACACTCGGGACTCGAACTGCTGAACTACTGACCTTCCACAGCCTGCAGTTCAGCGTCTTAACCTATTTATCTTTACAGTGGTCCCTATTTATCTACTTGCAATTTCTTGCTTTCGAACTGCTAGGTTGGCAGGAGCTGGAACGAGAGACGGGAGCTCACTCCGTCATGCGGCACCCGGGTCTCGAACTACTGACCTTCCACAGCCTGCAGTTCAGCATCTTAACCACTTGAGCCACCGCAGCTCCTTTAGTAGCACCTTAAAGACTAGCAAAATATGCGGCAGGGCATGAACTGCCGTGACGCCGCTCACTTCTTCAGCTACCGCGGCTCACGAGAGCTCCTCCCCTGCCACAAATTTTGTCCGTCTTCAAGGTGCTAATGGATTCTTGCTCTTTTCTGCTGCTACAGACAGACCAACACAGCGGCCACCCATCTTGATCTCGCGGAGATTCAAGCCCACTGGCGCTTTGGAGACCAAAGAGTTTTTCAAGTTATAAGCTTTTGACAGTCAAAGCTCCCTTCGTCAGATAGGAAGGGAGTTTGGACTCTCAAGTTTATCCCCCCAAAAAACCCTTCTTGGTCTCTAAGGCACTAATGGTCTCCAGTCTAACTGTGCGGCATGGTGTAACTGTCAGGATGGAAAAGCACCCCCCCAAGAAAAAGCAGAGGAAAAGGGGTATATCTATTATTAAAAAGTAGTGAGACATAAACCTGTTAAAGTTTATGTCTCAGTGCTTTTTAATAATAGCTGAAGAGGACTCATGTTAACCTAGGGATGCCAGCCGCCAGGTGGGGCCTGGGTGGGGATCCCTTTGAATTACAGCTCCTCTTCAGACTACAGAGATCAGTTCTCCTGGAGAGAGTGGATGCTTTGGAGGGTGGACTCTGTGGCATTGTGCCCCACTGAGGTCCCTGTCCTCCCCAGGCTCCACCCCCCAAATCTCCCATGAATTTACCAACCTGGATTTGGCAACCCTCCCTACCTCCCCCCCATCCCTGCCAGTGGCCAGCGAGGGGGGCCTGGCAACCCTATATTAACATGGGTGTGCAGTATCTGCTTAAAAGTTAACTGCAGTGTAAAGAGCCCTGCAAGGTAAAGGTAAAGGTTTCCCTTGCCCAAAAGCCAGTCGTATCCAACTCTAGGGATGCGGTGCTAATCTCTGTTTCCAAGCTGAAGAGCCAGCACTGTCCAAAGACGTTTCCGTGGGCATGTGGCCGGCATGAGTAGACACTGAGGTGCACAGAACACTGTTGCCTTCCCACCAAAGCGGTACGTATTTATCTACTTGCAATTTCTTGCTTTCGAACTGCTAGGTTGGCAGGAGCTGGGGCCAAAGACGGGAGCTCACTCAGTCTTGCGGCACTCGGGTCTTGAACTGCTGAACTACCGACCTTCTGGTCTGCAGTTCAGTGTCTTAACCACTTGAGCCACCGCAGCGCCTAAAGAGCTCTGTAGGAACTGTTAAATAAGATGAATTTCATTTGTAAGCAAGACCACGGTTTGTTTATTCTTGTTGAGGGGAGGAAACAGAATTTATCTGCATCCTCCGAAATTAAGGCATTCCGAACGCAGTGTCCAGTTGAATTTTTAAATATTTATTTGAAAACCACCTTTTGCAACACTGCACTTGTTGAGACAAGTTTGCATTGGTTGCATGACAGGTTAAAATTAAACGTAATGAGACGGTTTCAGCAATTTCCCTTTGATACCAGCATTTGGTTTGCTGTCACTTGTCATTGCTGCGTAAGGTAAATACACATTAAGCAAACGGGGAGATTTATAGGAGGGAAAAAAATAAGCAAATCAGTGTCAGCCAGAAGATAAACAAGGAAATGATATAGTTTGACTGCTCGCCAATGGTTTGGTAGCACGTGAACTGGAGGCTGTCTTTGAGGAAAGGGGTAATTTAGCATGATCAAAACAGAGGTCACTAGAGCAGTGCAGCTTTTGAATAATTCGACTTGAGTAATTGTTCCAGAATATTACTGTGTGATTGCCAGTGAGTCAAAACGGGAAGTCAAAACTGGAAGAATGTCCATTGAAGGCACCTGCAGAGAGGA